GTGATCCGTGTCTGCGGGGCGGAGGGAGGAGTGAGGGGGGTCAAGGGAGAGAGGTGAAAAGCCTCGTCCCACCTCCCGGCCACCACGCCCCGATTCCCCCCTCCTCCCTGTGCAGCTCCACGGTGCTTTGAGGATGTTTGGGTTTTGGAGGCTCCCTTCTGCCTTTCCAGCCACCCTCTCAGCTTTCATCATTCATTGCCCCCACTCCAGCCTGGAGAGGATAAAAGCTGACCACAGCTCCCTCTCAAGGCTCATCTTTCACGGTTGAGCTCCTGCAGCAAATAAGCGTTGCCACGGCCCAAGTTTTAGGATGTCTTCCCCTCTCCCAATACATCAAGCCATCGCTGTGTCCTCAAGATGCTCCACTCTGCAGCAGCGACGTGCACTGGTGATGCCACCAGCCTCAGGAGCACATACGGGGCTGTGGCCCAGCCAAACCCACCCTTCCCATCACCGGAGCTTATCAGAGCAGAAACAGGCTGCTGCAGCACTGGATCGAGGTGTAGGGGTGCATGTTTTGGGAGAGGGCTGCACCGACCAACACCCACCAGCAGTTATGGCATCGAAGAAGGAGTGGCAGTAATAGGCGCTGAGGCTCCTCTGCTGCCGGTCCCCACCATAAAGGTCCGTGCTCCAGTCCTGGAAGTGAGTGAAGACTTTTCCTGGGAGCTGGATGGCCAAGCCCTTGGAGGGCTTCCCTGGGATGGAGCAAGGAGTGGTGAGTTGCGGAGAAGGGGCAGGGAAATGGCTTTCCCCAGAGCACTGCATGAGCACAGGGCTGGGGATCTGTCCCAGGGCTCCAAACACTCCTTGTCCCACTGTGGTTCCTGTCCCCCTCTCTACGGTGGTGGCAAAGACCCCTCAGTACCCCCAAAAACCATGCACCAGTTTCCCTGGTTGCAAACAAGTGGGCAGCAAGTTCAACCTTCAACCGGAGGGCCTGGTACCCATCCCACATGCCCTACCGCATCCTCCTCCCCAACCGCAAAGGTACAGACCCATCCCCACCACGTCCCTTGCATATAGTCCTCTCCCCTTGCAGGGACCTGCTCCCATCCCTGCTCCTGCCTCTCCATCTCACGGAACAGCCCCGGAGGAACCAAGGGATGCTTGGGGAAGCCAGGCTCACCGTACAAGTTCTGGATAGCCAAGATGTCATCCCAGCTGAGGACAAAATCCTTGCCGAGCTTCTTGTAGTAGGGAGACATCAGGGCACTCTTGACGGGGGAGTGCTCCAGCCCCAGCGTGTGGCCGACCTCGTGTGCCACCACGACAAAGAGGTTGCGTCCTTTGCCGCTGCGCAGGGACCAGCGCTCGGCGCTGTCGAAGTGGGCTTCTCCGCGCCGCGGGAAGAAGGCGTGAGCCAGGGCACCTCCTGGGGACACGAGAGCCGTCAGGGACCGTGGGGCAGGAGAGGACCACAGCCACAAGCTGAGGGGCAGGGGGGCACATGCAACTCTGGTTTGCTTAAATATGCATCAATTTTAGCTCTTTGGGAGGTCTCCTGAGAAAGAACAGCAGCTTCCCACAGCGGGTGCAGCCCAAACCTGCTCTGCCTTCTGCTTCTGAGCATGGGGGGGTTGTCTGCTCTGTGGTTTATCAGTTTGGTTTCTCGCCCCAGGCTTGGGCCAGGGACTGAAGGCACCAGAGTGACCCATGCCAGGCAAGGGCTCAAGGAGACAGAAAGCCTGATAGCACTGCACAGAACAGCTTATCTGGAAAGAACGAGCTCGGGTTTGGAGGATGCCATCAGGGTGGGGAAGGCTCCTCAAAGGCCATCAGCATGATCCTACAATGAGCATCTCAACCGCCTCGCTAGCAGTCCTCCCATTGCAGAGTTCGGAGTGAGGACCCCAAATCAGAAAGCAAACTGGTGCAAACTGGGAGGTGTTCTCGGTTAGAGGGACTGCCGGGGCAGAGCCTCACCTCCAGCACCCCCAGCCCATTGCCGCCCCAGCCCTCCTCCCTGCCGGGGAAGAGCCCACGTTGTAAAAGAGAAGCTTACGAGGGGGAAGCGACCAGCACCTGGTCCATCGAAGGCGTTGTTGAGTCCATCGTTGTGGTCCCCATGGAAGAAGGTCAGGCGGATGTCAGCTGGGCCATCCTGCGCCTCCCAAAACACCAGTGACGACACGTTGCTCCAGAGCTCAAAGGCAGCTTTCACGGCCAGGCGCACCTCGTGCTGCGGCAGGTAGGACGGCCAGTTCACCACCCGGTAGGTCAGGTGCCGCTTGTACCACCTCCCGCCTGCAAGAGGGGCAAGCTCAGCACGACGGTGGGGACTTGGACTTGTTCCTCCACCTGGGGGTTGCTTGGGTGGAGGAAAGCTTCCCGGTGCTGGGAAAAGCCATGGCTTTCTCAGGCTGAAGCTGAAAGTCAACCCAGGTGTCTGACCAGCTGCCTCAGCACCCTGTACCAGCAGCAGGACTCATGAGATCCCTCTGAAGGTGCCACCACCAGACCCCACTCAGAGATTCCCAAGGCTGGAGCTACAACCAAACCCCAAGAGAGAGGCCAAAACCTGTTTGAGGAGAGAAGAAGCTGGGGCACCCAGTTTGGACGCCCCCGTGCCGCATCGCACTTTCCGGGGCCAAATCCAGCACAGGTCCCTGACCTGCAGGTCTCCTGCCTGATGCCAACTTCACACCCAGAAGAAGAGGCAGCCTAAGGACTGGCTATCAGGGAGGGGAAGCAAAACCACCTCCAAAAACAAGTTGCCCAAAGGCAGAAGGCGTGGAAAGGGCTCTCAGCAGCACCTTGGGGACACAACGGGACTGCGGGGACGGGGGATGCAGGAGTGCAGCCCGCTTACGCAGATTTACTGAGAACTGGGCACCAGCCAGAGGGAAAAAAAGATCCAGTCCTCAAGGGGAGAGCAGCTGGGTTCGAAACACCTCCCCGCGAAGGAATGGTACGGAACACCATGATGCTGATCTCCATCACACGCCCAGAGACCCAGAGATGTCCAGGGCTCCATTCAGCTGGCTGGCGAGCTCGGGAGGGGAGGGACAGTGCCTGTTTCTATGGGGGGGGCTGCAGTACAGCCCTGCGGCTGGGGC